CTTGATCCATTTTGAATTAACTTTTGTGCATGGCGAGAGAAAGGGATTCAGTTTCATTTTGTTGCATATGGATTTCCAGTTTTCCCAGCACCATTTGTTGAAGATGCTATCCTTCCTCCATTGCATGCTTTTAGCCCCTTTATCAAATATAAGATAGTTGTAGTTTTGTGGATTGGTTTCTTTGTCCTCTATTCTGTACCATTGGTCCACCCGCCTGTTTTGGTACCAGTACCATGCTGTTTTTGTTACTATTGCTCTGTAGTATAGTTTGAAGTCTGGTATCGCTATACCGCCTGATTCACACTTCCTGCTTAGCATTGTCTTTGCTCTTCTGGGTCTTTTATTTTTCCATATGAATTTCATGATTGCTTTCTCTATTTCTACAAGAAATGCCGTTGGGATTTTGATTGGCATTGCATTAAACCTATAGAGAACTTTTGGTAATATTGCCATTTTGATGATGTTAGTTCTGCCTATCCATGAACAGGGTATATTTTTCCATCTTCTAAGATCTTCTTCTATTTCTCTCTTTAGGGTTCTGTAGTTTTCATTGTATAAATCTTTCACCTCTTTTGTTAGGTTGATTCCCAAGTATTTTATTTTTTTTTCAAGATATTGTGAATGGAGTGGTTGTCCTCATTTCCATTTCAGAGGATTTGTCGCTGATATACAGGAATGCCTTTGATTTATGCGTGTTGATTTTATATCCTGCCACTTTTCTGAATTCATTTATTAGCTCTAATAGTTTCTTTGTAGACCCTTTTGGGTCTGCTAGGTATAGAATCATGTCACCTGCAAATAGTGATAATTTAAGTTCTTCTTTTCCTATTTTGATGCCTTTAATTTCTTTCGTCTGTCTAATTGCTCTGGCCAGTGTTTCGAGAACTATGTTGAACAGAAGTGGTGAGAGAGGGCATCCCTGTCTTGTTCCAGATTTTAGAGGGAATGCCTTCAATTTTTCTCCATTCAGAATGATGCTAGCCTGAGGCTTAGCATAGGTTGCTTTTACAATATTGAGGTATGTTCCTGTTATCCCTAGTTTTTCTAGAGTTTTGAACATAAAGGGATGCTGTACTTTGTCGAATGCTTTTTCCACATCTATAGAGTTGATCATATGGTTCTTATTTTTAAGTCTATTGATGTGGTGAATAACATTTATTGATTTCCGTATATTGAACCAGCCTTGCATCCCAGGGATGAATCCTACTTGATCATGGTGCACAATTTTTTTGATATGTTTTTGTATCCGATTCGCCAGAATTTTATTGAGGATTTTTGCATCTAGGTTCATTAGAGATATTGGTCTGTAGTTTTCTTTCTTTGAAGTGTCTTTGTCTGGTTTAGGTATCAGGGTGATGTTGGCCTTGTAGAATGAATTTGGAAGTTCTCCCTCTTTTTCTATTTCCTGAAGTAGCTTGAAAAGTATTGGTATTAGTTCCTCTTTAAAGGTTTTGTAAAACTCTGCTGTATACCCATCCGGTCCTGGGCTTTTCTTAGTTGGTAGTCTTTTTATGGTTTCTTCTATTTCCTCAATTGATATTGGTCTGTTTAGGTTGTCTATATCTTCCTGACTCAATCTGGGCAGATCATATGACTTAAGAAATTTATCGATGCCTTCACTATCTTCTAATTTATTGGAGTATAAGGATTCAAAATAATTTTTGATTATCTTCTGTATTTCTGAAGTGTCTGTTGTGATATTGCCTTTTTCATCCCGTATGCTAGTAATTTGAGTTCTCTCTCTTCTTCTCTTTGCTAGCATGGCTAAGGGTCTGTCAATTTTGTTTATTTTTTCAAAGAACCAACTTTTTGTTTTGTCAATTTTTTGAATTGTTTCTTTTGTTTCGATTTCATTAATTTCAGCTCTGATTTTAATTATTTCTTGCCTTCTACTTCTTTTGCTGTTGTTTTGCTCTTCTTTTTCTAGGATTTTGAGATGAAGTATGAGATCATTTATTTGTTGGTTTTTTTCTTTTTTTAAGGAATGAACTCCACACAATGAATTTTCCTCTTAGAACTGCTTTCAATGTGTCCCATAGATTCCGATATGTTGTGTCTGTGTTTTCATTGATCTCTAAGAACTTTTTAATTTCCTCCTTGATGTCTTCTATAACCCATTGATCATTCAGTAACCTATTGTTCATTCTCCAAGTGATGTATGCTTTTTCCTTCCTTCTTTTATCATTGATTTTCAGTTTCATTCCATTATGATCAGATAAGATGCATGGTATTATCTCTACTCCTTTATATTGTCTAAGAGTTGCCCTGTGACATAATATATGATCTATTTTTGAGAAGGATCCATGTGCTGCTGAGAAAAAAGTGTAACTGCTTGATGTTGGGTAGTATATTCTATATATGTCAATGAAGTCTAGGTTATTAATTGTGTTATTGAGTTCTATAGTTTCCTTATTCAACTTTTGTTTGGAAGATCTGTCCATTGGTGAGAGAGGTGTGTTGAAGTCTCCCATGATTATTGTATGGTGGTCTATTAGACTCTTGAACTTGAGAAGAGTTTGTTTGATGAACATTGCTCAATTTATATTAAAACTCCTTTATTTAGAATTTTTGTACCAATGTTCTTGAGAAGTGATGACCTATAATTTTCTTCACTTGCAATATTTCTGTGAAGTTTTGATATCAAAGTGTGGTAGGAAGCAGTCCAACTTTCAATATAAATCTCTATTTTCTGAAAGAATTTATATAAAATTGGTATTATTTTCTTAAATGTGTAAGAGAATAGAAACAGGATTTTTTGTGTATAGGAAAATTTATTATTATGAATTCAATTTCTTAAATACATACAAGGTTATTAAGATTTTCTATTTCTACTTATGTTGATTTTGGTAACTGTTTTCCTGTGAATTTGTTTATGTCATAAAAATTATCTGATGACTAAATGAGTTCTTGGTTTAAAAAAAAATGGCAGAGAAACAAAGAAAGAAACAGTTGCAAATGTAGAGAAGGCCAAGCATGTATGGTGGCTTCACTTTATAACAATCCATTCTCATGGAAACTAACCTGGTCCTGAGAGAACCACATTAATCCCCTCCAAGAATGTGGCACCCCTATGACCTTATCACCTTCCACTGGGACCCACCTCTTAGAGGTCCCACCATCCCTCAACATCAACACACCAGGGACCAAGATTCTAGTACCTGAACATTTGGGAAACAAACCGTATTCAAGTCATATTTTTTTAAAAGCTGAATAGTAAGTACATAGATTTTTTACCATTATTCTTTGTATATTATTTCCTATTTATTAAATACATAATTTTAAAAATTGATTTTAAAGAGTAATATAGGTTTGGTTCTTATCTTCCAGTGGTTTTCTCTGCTTCTTTGTTTACTGAGTTGATGAACATGGAATGGTCGCTCATACTTCTGAGTAGACAAGATTCTATTTTGAAGGCAGGAAGGAAGCAGCCCCAAGGGGTCTATTTGGGTACAGAAAGCAGCAAGCCTCAGTTCAGCATCAAACCAAAGCCTTGTTTTCCAACATAGTCTATGAAAAGTCCAATATTGGGGGTAATGAAATGGTGCTTTGATATTTAATTTTATCCAATCAATTCTCTTGAAACACCTCCACAAAGAATGAACAGAATGAATCCCCCCTATTGAGACTGCACACAAATACTTACAAAGAATTATTTCCAAGAGATTTTTAAAGTTATAATGACAATCAGAAATGCCATGTCTTTAGTCCACTCTTTGTGCCAAGTCAGAATTTTTCTCAGATAAAGTGAACAGTAATTTTATTCAAAATTCATTTTTTTTAAAGAAATACGGACTTTAATGAAGACTTTCCCTTTGGTATAACTGAGACCCGTGGAAACATCCAAACAAAAAGAGGCGGCGGCCAGAATTTAACGGTGATCCTCCCGGATCCCCAGGCCTAAAGAGCCCGCAGGGCCGGTTTCCGTCTGTCTCACCAGGGTCGCGCCTAAAAGATGCTCCACACCTGGAGGTTTTAAGCTACCACTTTGTGACATTGTACCAATACTCAGCCACACTTCCCAGCCTCACGGTAAGGGACCCAAACTCAGTCCCAAGACTAAATCAGTTTCTGCTGCAGGTCTTACATTAAAAAAAAAAAAATGCTGCCAGTCCTAGTTAACTCTGAGAAAAATGCCAATTGTAAAAGGACTTGGAAAAGTCAAAGAGGTGATATATAAATGTAATCGATTATCATCATTTTGTGCTCAAAAGCCATGGAAAACAAGATTAGGAAAATAAATCTATAGCCCTAAAGTATATGCATATAAAGTAAAAACTGAATGCAGTTCCAAATCTACAGATAGTATTTGGGAATTGTCCAGTGCCTTAGAGTCTTAATACCCCTGTTCCCGCCTCCACAAAACCCACCTGGGTCAGTTTACTATATGTACAGGAGGCCCAAATTCAGCCACCCGAACTGCCATAGCACTGCCACAGATGGGGAGGCAGGGTGGAGCTACAGGATGAAGGGCTACTTTGGCTGTAGAGTAAAACATGCATGCAACAGAGAAAAGGCGGAGCTTACGAAATGTATATACAGACCCCTTGTGCCGAGGGGCCCCAGCCAGGAGGCACTGAGCAGGGGAGGGGTCCAACTACCCCCTGGCCTGTAGGGGGGCTCTGGAGCAATCTCTAAGGGTTTTGTATCCCCAGGGAGAGGGGATACAGCTGCCAGCCCTGCCTCTGTTCTCCCATCCCAAACTGGAGGGATGCTGAACAAGAAGAGGGCAGGGTTCCAAAAGCCAAAAAGGTGTCAACACCCCTGTCCTTGAATTCAGGGGCCTCTTTGCATAAAATATCTTCAGACCTAGGAGATGGTCAAAGGCACAAAGTTTAAACACTAGGGCAGAGGGGGACTGAGAGGGGTCAGGGGTACCCTGAAGCCCAGGGTGGACCAGAGGTGTGATTTGTTTCCGCTTCCCCAGAAGGTTGATTGCTTCGCTGGGCTTATCACCACAGGGCATATTCCATTACAAGCACCTGCCTTCTTGAGGAAGATTGGCACAGGAAAGGCCCAGGCAAGGAGGCCACTCTGTACATTAATACTTTGGTGAGGTTTGGGGAGAAGCAGGGCTCTACCCCAGGCTCCTGACAAATCCTCCCTCAGCTGGATACTAAACCCAGAGTCCACACTACACCCAGCTCCTACCCGAGGCCAAGCCCCACAGAACACTCCCAAGTGAGTTCCTGAGAGTTAGGAAGGAAGGTGGAGGGGGTTGGAGAGCATCTTCTGGGAGAGAGGCTGGGAAGGATCACAGTTTCAGCTCCACAGGTTGCTGTAGACACAGTTCGCTGCCCGCAGAGATGATGGGCAAATGATTGTCCATGTGGTAGCTGATGAGATGACTGACACTCTCAAAGCGGTGATCCTTTGTCCGAACCACACCCTCAGGATCCACCAGAAGCAGGTGCTTGGGCTGCCCACTCTGCAGGCCAGTGAGCACGTACTGGCCAGGTGTGGTGGTGCTCTCTCGCACCAGGAAGTCCCCGTTGAGCTGAAGCAGCGCCTCTGCCTCCCGCCGATTCAGCTTCCCGTGGAACCAGGGCTCCCCTCGGAGCTGTTCAGCCATGGACATGGACTGGGGTTGGGGAGGTACCCGAAGGGCATCTTCAAAGGGTTTCATATCAAAGAGGTCCCGGGGTACACTGCCATTGACAGCAGGATTGGGGGGCCCAGCCCCACCCCCTGCTTGCCGGGCCTTGTCTAGGTTCTGGACATTGACATAGGAGGGATCATCGAAGAGCTCTCTACCTGGGCAGGGGGGTGGAAGTGGTATCTGTTTACGGACTTCTGGGTCTCCCCCGGAAGACTGCCCGGCAGGCAGTGTAGCTCCCAGGTGGCTAGAGGTCTGGACACTGGGTGGAGTGGGGCGAGCAACTCCTGAAGGGGCTCCTTCCCGAAGCCTCATGTCTACCACCCCCCCCTAGAGGGGGCTCCTTCCCCGGAAAGTCATTATAGTACTGATGGTCAGGTGGCTCTTCCTCCTCCTCATCCCAAGCGGAGCCATCAAAACCAGCCATCCTGTCATGAGGGGTGACCAGCTTGGGTGGGTTCCTGAGGTATTGTTTGAAGCGCAACTCGAAGGCCTGGCCAATAGTGCTGATGACATCCTGGGCGAGCCCTTCTGGACACTCCAGTATGTGGCAGGCTCTCTGATTCACAGGGTCTTTGGCAACATAGGCGACATACTCGGCTGTGTCCGGATCCCCGCTGGACGCAAATGAGATAGACTGCATGTGGTGGTTGGCAATGATCTGTTTGCAGTCTGCGGCCATGAGATTGAGGCTGCTGGTGGAGACGGTGAGAGTGATTGGCATTCCAGCAAATTTCAGGTTACTCCTCCCCAGGATAGAGCTGAGTGGGCGGCTGCAGGGCTTTCTCCTCCTTGTTGCCCCCTTAGCACCCGGCACAGCCTCACACACCAGACTGATGGCCTCCCTGGTGACCTGAGTCCGGGTATTGAAGTCAAGGGCACGCATGGACTGCAGGACCTCCACACAGCCCATGTACCGAACCAAGTAGGAAACCCCGGGTCCCATGACTTTGTCGTTGGGATGCAGCCAGCCCCTCGTGGGCTTATTGACAAAGCTCCCGTGGCGGGTCCACTCCTCGCCCTTCAGCTGGCCCCCTTCCACCCGAGTCCTGCGCCCGCCGCCTCCACTCAGCTTGTTCATGTCCAGGGCCTCATGGAGTCTCCGCACCGCACCCGAGCCAGTCTGGTTGCGGATCACGCCACTGCCTGCTTAAGTTGCCGCTCTAACTTTCTCCCTGACCTGGCCTCCCCAGAGAAACTTTATTACACTCACTTCCGGCCTCACTAACCCTTGACCCTCCACCTCATGGTCCCTCCTCACCCGTCCCTTATTCAAAAATTTAAAATGAATCTTTAACAGACTATCAATAGGGATCCAAGTCATTGTGATTAAAACTGTCCATGATGTGCACCAGGCACATTCATCCCATTGTACATGCTATATTTGACTTTTTACCAAAAGCAATCTTGATGGATGTCATAAAATGAATGCAATTCAGTCTCACATTCTTAAAAAATATTGTCTCGTTAATTTAAATTTCACAATATTAAAATAAATACAATTTAGTGCTGCCTATTAGAGGAGCCCCAGCACTTAGCTAATTTTGACCATTATATATTAAACTTTTTATTAAAGAGTGCTCTTTAAAAAAATAAAAGAAAGAAAGAAGTGGGTGCTATATTCAAAGATTTTTCAGTCACATTTGAATTTTCATCAATACCAAAGTAAATATAGGCTACTAGGTGGTACTATTTATATCTGTGTTTTCATCAGGTACAAGTTTTTAAAACTCTACAAATATCTCCATACCTTCAACATTCCAAGGCACATTATTTCTAAGTAGCTTATATCTGTAAATGCTTAATTCTGTTTAGGACACAATTTCTGCTGCATTCAACCCTTAATCTCACAAACTCCCCATCTCCAAAAAGTTTTGATATCTGGCCAATATTTTTCAATTATCATAACTGCATTTTAAATTATCTGTACCTATTTACCAATATTCCAAAACAAGCCTATTGTAATTTCAGTTGCTTAATCAGGTCTTTAGGTTTCTCTTTTTAAATATTTTAAAAAAAAAATTTAGTTATAGATGGACACAGTATCTTAATTTTGTTTGTTTATTTTTATGTGGCACTGAGGATCAAACCCAGTCCTTCCACATGTGCAAGCCAAGCGAGCCACAACCACAACCACAACTGTGGCCACTGAGCCACAACCCCAGCCACTAGGTTGCTCTTTTTATCAATTATTTTTACCTTGTATCAGTCATAGGCCTAGAATGGTTTGCTTCTTAATGACCCTCTTGAGCTGTATTCTTCCAAAACAGATATACTTTGAAAAAGATATTTTCTCATATTTGCATACACACAAAATATTTTCTTTTGTACTCTCCAATTTTTCTTGATATGTGTGAACTTCTTGGTCTTTTACTTTGCCACTGATACTAGAGACGATACAAGAAATATTTCATTTCTGTCCTGATAAAGAGTAAAATGCTCAGTCTCAGTATTAGGGAGACCAAATGAAGAGGCAGGGTCTAGAGTAACTCAGGTGTTCACCTCCAGTCAATAGTTTTAACCAAAAAAAAGTGGGTCCAATATTGTCAAATAGCATAATGTTTTAGGAGATGCCAGAAATCCATACTTGAGGGTTTTTTAAACTCATACCTTTTTAACATTGATAAATTCAATATTTTCTAACAGTAAACAGCTCAAATAAAACATTTTGCTAGCCAGGTATATCCTTCAGTAGACTCACTTCAGACTAGAATAAATGCTTTTGAGTTTCAGTTGTTGATATGATCTTACTTAATTAAAAGTTATTTTAAGTTATTTTGAGATGTATAAACATAAGAGCTTCCAGGGAAACATAGGACTCTGATGGAAATAATTAAATTCTGGGTTCCTGAGCTCTGCAGACAAATAGCTGTCCTTCTCTTTGAATAGTAAAACAACAGATATCTGGCCCACTGTTGATACAATCTCACTACAGGGAATATTTAAATGCAAAGACAATGGGAAAAGTTAACTTTTCCTTCAACTTTTACACATGGTGAGACTAACATTCCCCTCTTTTGCTCCCTTTTTCTGCTTCATCAATATCAAAATGTATCATTTTGTGGCTTCCCACTAGAAAAAGTGCCAGAATGTATGAAATTATCAAATAAAAACAAAGACATATTCTCCTAGCTGAAAGAAATAAAGAAGATGGCTAACTAATGTTTAAATTCAACAATATCATTGCAAAGACCAAAGAAAAATTTCTACACTATCTAAAAAAGTCAAAGAATAAAATAATTTCTAAAAATCTTCCAGGTGATTGATGGTCTAATTTTATATGATTTTTCAGAATGACTACCTTCTGGGGTGTTAAGCTATTTAATGAAAATTTTAAGATGTTAGCAATGTAACTTTATCATGATTAACAGAATTTATTCATCAACATTATCTTTTAATTTTTAGTTATTGTCAGTCTTAAGCACATTTCTATCATCTCTTTTACCGAATTAACCTTTATGATGTAATGAAAAAATACAAAGTACAATTCATACAAAGAATGAATTAGGAAAATTACAGACATCAATGATGATATTAATAACCTCTTAATATTATTTCTTAGGCTGAGGCCTTTGATAAGTTTTAAAATCTTATAATTAAGTTGCTTTCATAGGTATACAGAATCAATAAAGTATGTAAAACTAATGTTAATGCCCACATATAATGTTCTTAAGATGAGGCCAAGGAAACTCAACAGTTCTACCAATGTTCTCACTGTATATTACCAGCAATACTTACCTCACAAATGTTAGTCAAGCACTCTGTTCCTCCTAAATCCATTAGACTAGGTACTGGGGATGAAAGGATGAACAAGCATCTTACTAATTACTATTTATTGCCAGAGCATGTATAATACTGTTATAAAGCATGTCACTATTAATTTGAATCACAAAAATAAAGTCTAGCTTATTCTAAACGTCCTTATAGTTTTTCTATATTTTCTACTTGAACGTTCAGAAATTTAAAGTATGTAGAAATGATGACCTGTTGATAACTGTTTTAGTCAGCTCTTTCAGTGCTGTGACTAAAAGATCTGACCAGAACAATTTTAGAGGAGGAAAATTTATTTGGGGACTCACGGTTTCAGAAGTCTCAGTCCTTAGACAACAGGCTCCATTCCTCGGGGCTCAAGATGAGGTAGAACATCATGTGGAAGAGCGTAGCTAAGGGAAGCAGCTCACATGATGATCAGAAAGCAGAGATAGAGACTCCCACTGTACAGACACAAAATATATACCCTAAAGCCACATGCCCAATGCCCCAACTCCTCCAGCCACTCCCCACATGCCTTTAGTTACCACTCAGTTAATTCCATCAGATAATTAATTCAATGATTGGGTTAAGGATCTCATAATGTAAACTTTTCTTCTCTGAACCTTCTTGCATTGTTTCACATGTGAGCTTTTGGGGGACACCCCACATCCAAACTATAACAATAACATTATATACATATTAGAGGTAATTGTGTATTGTTGTATCAAGTATTTGAAATCCTTGTTATTCATCATTTTACATAGTGCTTCTATAGCCAGCTAGCATATCATTAACTAGTTTCTCTATGCTTTCTCAGGCAAAATGCTTGTATACAGAAAACAGGCACTGAACCTGAAACAGTCCAGCAAGGCATTTTATTTTAATTAAAAAAACCTATCTGTGTATATGTATGTGTGTGTGTGTGTGTGTGTGTATATATATATATATATATATATATATATATATATATATATATATTACACACAACATGCACACACACATTGTATGTGTATATCCCAACTGTTCACTTAAGAATCCTAGAAACTGATCAAGACAGTAGCAAAATTCATGACAGTGCAATTAATTCCCACTAAAAGAAGACAGTTTCTTATAGCCAGGCACAGTGGCACACACCTGTAATCCCAGTGGCTCAGGAGGCTGAGACAGGAGAATCACAAATTCAAAGCCAGCCTCAGCAACCACAAGGTGCTAAGCAACTCAGTGAGACCCTGTCTCTAAATAAAATACAAAATAGGGCTGGGAGGTGACTCAGTAGTCAAGTGCCCCTGAGTTTAATCCCTAGTACCTGCCCTGCGACACCACAAAAAAGAGACCAGTTTCTTGAAGAACTTGCTAATTCCAAGTCAGTAACAGGAAACGTACATGAGGAACATGGACCTGTTTTGACCTATCAGGCAGCAAAGGATTTGAGAACCAACCTGAATTCACTAGTCAAAGATGGAATAATCTGAGCATCAATAAAGCAAAGAATTTCATTAAAGATAATCTTTGCTTTCAATAAAGCAAAAAATGGATTTATAAACATCAAGTATGGTTAAATTGGTGAGTCCATAGTAATCCTTTAAATCATAAGATAATAGAGAACCATGTTTTTTATTTTGAATAACGGTTATAAGAGGTGGAATCTAACCTTAATAAGAGATTAAAGGATTTTTCCTGCCTTTCCTATATAAATTGAAACACATGTCAACCAAATAGTTGAGGAGGGGAAGTATTTATAAAAGTATTGCAATTGTGAAATGAAAATTAAATTGCAGAATTAGAATATGTCCATTCAAATTACTAAATTAAATAAGTTGAGGCACTGAGCCTCAACCATTGTCAACATCAAGGAAAACAGAAACTAGATGTGATGCACTTTCTTTTTTTTAACATGGTAAAATTTATGTTTAATTTTTTATTTTTTTATAATTTCTTTTTTATTGATTTTTTTAAAAAAATAAACAACAGCAGAATGCATTACAATTCTTATTACACATATTTAGCACAATTTTTCATACTTCTGGTTGTATATAAATTATGTTCACACCAATTCGTGTCTTCATACATGTACTTTGGATAATGATGTCTATCACATTCCACCATCCTTGCTAACCTCCTGAGCCTTCCCTTTCCCTCCCACCCCTCTGCCTTATCTAGAGTTTGTCTATTCCTCCCATGCTCCCCCTTCCCTACCCTACTATGAGTCAGCCTCCTTATATCAGAGAAAATATTCGGGATTTGGTTTTTTGGAATTGGCATTATCTTCTCCAACACCATCCATTTAGCTGCAAATGCCATGATTTTATTCTCTTTTATTGCTGAGTAAAATTCCATTGTGTA